TCCTAACCTTTTTGAGTACTTCTGTTTTTAAACTATTCTTGCCTTTCTTTTTATTTAAATATTTTTATGTTTTTATTTAATTTAGATACAATCTTATTTTACATATCAAGCCCAGTTTCCTCTCTCTCCCATCATCCCATATCCCCAACCGAGGCACCCATCCCACCCAAAAACACTCCCAAAGGATGGTGAGAGTTTCCATGAGGGATCATCAAATTATGTCACATCATTTGGGGGAGATCTATGCCCTCCCCTGTGTATCTAGGCTGAGAGAGTAGTCCCCATTGGGGAATGGGCTCCCAAAGTCAATTTGTGCACTAGGGATAAATATTGGTTCCACTGTCAGAGGTACCATAGACTTCCCAGGCCTCCTAACTAACACCCACATTCCGGAGGCTTGGTTGAGTCCAATGCTGGTTCCCCAGCTTTACGACTGAGGTTCAAGAACTCCCACTTGGTCAGGTCAGCTATTTCTGTGGGTTTCACCAGCATGGTCTTGACACATTTGCTCGTCCCTCCCTCTCTCAACAACTGAATTACAGGAGTTTGGCTCAGTGCTTAGTTGTGGGTCTTTGCTTCTTCTTCCATCAGTTACTGGATGAAGGCTCTAGGGCATTTAAGGTACTCATCAATCTCATTATTGGGGAAGGACATTTAAGGTAGCCTGTTCACTATTACTTAGACTCTTAGTTGGGGTCATATTTGTGGATCTCTGGACATTTCTCTAGTACCAGAATTCTCTTTAAACCTATATTGGCTCCCTCTATTAATGTATCTCTTTTCTTACCCTGACTTAATCTTCCTGATCCCTCATTTTCTCCTTCCCATTTCTCTTCTCTCCCCCTCTTTCACTTACCTCCATCCTCCCCTCCCCCATGCTCCCAATTTGCTCAGAAGATGTTTTCCCTTTCCCCTTCTCCAGAGTACTATGTATGTCTCGCTTAGGGTCATCCTTGTTTCCTAGCTTCTCTAGAGTTGTGAACTGTAGACTGGCAATCCTTTGCCCTATGTCCAATATTCATGTATGTGTGAGTGAGATAATACCATGTTTGTCTTTCTGTGTCTGTGTTACCTCACTCAGGATGGTTTCTTCTAGCTCCATCCATCTGCCTGCGAGTTTAATGATTTCATTGCTTTTTTTTTCCTCCGAGTAGTAAATGTGTAAATGTACCACATTTTCTTTGTCCATTCTTCAATTGAGGGGCATCTAGGTTGCTTCCAGATTCTGACTATTACAAATAATGCTGGTAGACTGACACTTATTTTCCTGAGAAACCACCATACTAATTTCCAAAGTGGCTGTACAAGTTTACATTACCACCAGCAATGGAGGAGTATTTCCCTTTCTCCACATCCTCTACAGCTTAAAATGTCATTGGTGTTTTTGATTTTAGCCATTCTTACAGGTATAAGATGTTATCTCAAAGTGATTTTGATTTGCATTTCCCTGATGACTAAAGATGTTGAGCAATTTCTTAGTGTCTTTTAGCCATTTTAGATTCCTCTATTGAGAATTCTCTATTTAGTTCCATACCCCACTTTTTAGTTGAATTATTTGGTGTTTTGGTGACTAGCTTCTTGTGTTCTTGGCATATTTTGGAAATCAGCCCTCTATCAGATGTGGGGTTGCTGAATATCTTTTTCCAGTCTGTGGGCTGCCGTTTTATCTTGCTGACTATGTCCTTTGCCTCACAGAAGCTTCTCAGTTTCAGGAAGTCCCGTTTATTAATTGTCGATATGAGTGTCTGTGATACTGGTGTCATGTTCATGAGATGGTCTCCTGCACCAATTTCTTCAAGGGTACCTCCCACTTTCTCTTCTAGGAGGTTTAGTATGGCTGGGTTTATACTGAGGTCTTTGATCCATTTGGACTTAAGTTTTGTGCCTGCAATAGATATGGAACTATCTGCAATCTTCTACATGTCAGCATCCAGAACAACATAAAATATCCTGGGGTAACTCTAACCAAATAAGTGAAAGTTCTACATGACAAGAACTTTGAGTCTTTAAAGAAAGAAATCAACGAAGATACCAGAAAATGCAATTATCTCCCATACTTTTGGATAGGTAGGATCAACACAGTAAAAGTGGCAATCTTACCAAAAGCAAGTCTGCAGATTCAATGCAATCCCCCATCAAAATCCCAGTACAATTCTTCAGAGACCTTGAAAGGACAATACTCAACTTTATATGGAAAATCAAAAAATCTAGGATAGCCAAAACAACCCTGGACAATTAGGAAACTTCCAGAGGCATCACCATCCCTGACTTCAAGCTCTACTATAGAGCGACAGTAATGAAAACAGCTTGGTACTGGCACAAAAACAGACAAGTAGACCAATGGAATTGAATTGAAAACCCTGATATTAATCCACGCACTTATGAACACCTTATTTTTGGCAAAGAAGCTAAAATTATACAATGGAAAAAAAGAAAGCATCGTCAACAAATAGTGCTGGTATTCTTGCCTTTGAAAAACTGCATTTCCAATATTCCAATATAGGCTAAGGCAAGACCCTTCTTCCAAATTTTCTTAATTTGCCTCAATATGTGTTTTAAATTTTTGCTAATAATTTTAACAAAATTTGTAAGGTTTGAAGTTGTTAATAACTTGAATCTCGTGTGTGCGTGCATGCGTGTGTGTGTATGCGTGTGTGTGTGTGTGTGTGTGTGTGTGAGAGAGACCATCACTTTAGCATCATGAGAAAAATTCCAAGTGAAGCTGCTAGATCAGTATCTCTAGATGCTTCTACAGTATTACTTAATAAATATTTATTTGAATAATTGACTTCCTTAAAATTGTGAAAGAATTAACTTCAACATCTAGAGAGCCTCAATAGAATTGATTATAGGAATGAGCCTGATTACACGAATTTATCATTATCTGGTGGAGGAAGAAAAGCTAAATCCCGTGTTCCTTTTTCTTGCCAAATTCTTTTACGTCTCCATCTAGTGGTGAATAATCAATGTGATCAGCTTATTTTGTTCTCATTTCATATAAGCCTGTTCCTCACACTCATCTAGTGAATTCCTCTGTGGCAAGTGCTTGAATGAACCCTGGTTACAATTCAAGCACAATGTTGAGTCTTGAAACTATGCTGGAAATGGTTTCTTCCCCAGTCTTTTGATTTTTAGCTCCTCCTATTATGATCAAAGTCTAGGAATTGGGGTGACTGAAGAAAAATTCCAGTTGGCATACACTGTCTCTGTCTCAATCTGTCAGAAAAGAGGTTTAAGGCACAATTTTAGTCTATTGTGTGACATAAGCACTATAGCAATGCAAAGCTACGTATTGGAGAGATGAACAAAATATGGAATATATTGTTTTGTAGTTATCAGAAATAATCAAATAAAAACTTGTCACCACATCAAGAAATTAATAAGTCAAACACATTGCAAATGCACATACATATAAACAAATGAACAAAGCAATTTTAAAAAGTAAAAACTAAAACAACAACAGCAAAAAAACAGTTCTACATTCAAAGAAATAAGAAATAGTTTACTCTGAGCTAAATATGGGTGATCACAGCCATAGAACATGAATCTAGTCATTCTAAATGATATGGACCACAGTAGAAGAGTTTATTTACATAGGCTTTTATATTCACAAAACCAACTCAACAATTATGTTCATTGGTGCATTAGATAGGTAGGATCCAAAAATGCAAGGGAATCATTTCTATAATTTCAAGATGTTATAATATTCTTACATACTGTAAGAAGTTAGCCTAATACTCATAAGATTGTCAGGTCCAACACAGAGGTTAATGTAAATTATTTTAAAAGTTTTAGATAGTCTGATTATTTTGATTCTTAATCTACTATTTTCTCTATAAATATATTGTTCTAACCAGCCAAGCTCAGTCTACAGAATCTTCAATATAGATACAGCTTCAGTGAACTTCAGTTAACAACATCCTAGAAGTCTTTCTAGAAATCTAGATGAAAGCACTAGGTTTGGAAAAATGAATATAAATACAAACAATCCATTTCCAGGTGAAAAGAGAGTTTGCATGAACATGCTTTCCCTAGTTCAAGAAAAAATAAATTATCCACTATGGCTTGGTGAGTGTTGTAGGAAAGAAAAATTATTACAGAGTAGAATTTTGGCAAGTTCTCAGAGATAGTCCAATAGATCCCAATTGGAAGATACTTAACTCAATTTGTTGTGCAACCAACATTTATAAAGCTTTGTTCTAAACTTTCTCAGGAAATCATTGGTAAAAGGTAAATGTGTAAAGTGTCTGCTGTTGGGAAGAATAAATGGAAAATACATTAATGTTTCAAGGCTACCCTTCCACTATATAATTTATAATTTGTGACTTCCTTCATTGGGCTGGCAAGTTCAATGAATAGATGAAATAATAATTTAAGTTTCATGAATACATTCAATGAAACATTTTTGATGGCAGGAGTTCAAGATCAATTCACAAAGAAATATAATCAAGCCTTTAACATTGAACTAATCACTTAACCATGATGTTTGTACCCTAAAATAGTTTATGTGTTTTAGAAGAGCCTTTCTCAAGGGTCAGGAGGTCTATTTTTCTTCTGTGTTTTCTTATACAAGAATTGCACTGTGCTAACATGTCTCCGATGGTGGTTTCACAGAAAGCAAAGCAATTTCTTTCAATTATTTCTCCTTAATGGAAAGTCTAACAAATGAGTCATTAAACACAGTGGAAGAAATGTGATGCATTAGGGGACTAAGTGTAAGGAAAAAAAATTCCATAAAAATCTATGACCGAACATATGATTATATCACTTCTCACATTTACACTCTCTGGTACTCTCAACAAAAATCTTCAGGAAATTGGGATAAAGAGTTGATTGTTCATTAGACAAAGAGCATTACTTATTCAAAGTAAGAGAATTTTATCACAGAGGAAGTATCACAGGAGAAAACAGACTTTAGGCTCACAGGAAAGCTAAAGTACCTTGTTATGGTTTTTGGGCAACACTTTCTAATTCTTCTTTTTCATTATCTTTAAATACAGAATCCCCTGCACCTACAACTGAGTTTAGAAAATTCATTAAGTTCTGATGCTGATGTCACTGTCTCAATCCTGGCCATGAACAACTGGTACAATTTTAGCTTGTTGCTATGCCAGGAAGACTGGAATATCACCGATTTCCTCCTCCTTACTGAGAATAACTCTAAATTCCACCTCGGGTCGATCATCAACATCACTGCTAACCTGTCTTCCACCAAGGACCTCCTAAGCATCCTGCAGGTCCAACTGGAGCACGTTAAGAAAGGCACACCCACGATGGTGACGTTCGGTTGCGACATGGAGAATATCCGGCAGATTTTTGAAATTTCCACCCAGTTTGGTCTATCACCTCCTGAGCTTCACTGGGTTTTAGGAGACTCCCAGAATCTGGAGGAATTGAGGACAGAAGGCCTGCCTTTAGGGCTCATTGCTCATGGAAAAACAACACAATCTGTCTTTGAGTACTACGTGCAGGATGCCATGGAGTTGGTTGCAAGAGCTGTAGCCACAGCCACCATGATCCAACCAGAACTTGCTCTCCTTCCCAGCACGATGAACTGCATGGATGTGAAAACCACAAATCTGACTTCTGGACAATATTTATCAAGGTAGGATGTATATACTGGGTTACATTCTCATCCACAGAGCTGGGACAGCAAGTAAAATTTTCCTGTCTGTCCACTGTGCAGAAATCTTGACTCTGGGGAGCTTTAAAGGCCAATCGTTGTGAGACAGTTAGGGACAACAAAAGACTGGTGTCTCATGATCTGTTTTCTATATTTTTATTTGTAGTCTTTGCCTTGTAATATAGAGACAGCACTCAGCCCTGGCTAGTTCTCCACTCTCTGTTGAGTTCTTGGCAGATTATTTAAAAGCTTTGAGCCTCAATGTTCTAACAAGTAAATTGGGATAACATAGAATAGCTTGACATAGTAAATAGGCCATGAAATTTTATATGAAAATAATTAATGCATGCTTGCCTCACAGTAAATAAAAGCAAGGAATATTTCTTTGTTTATTCTTTCCCACATCCATAGGCCTGAGTAAATCTTTATAAATAAATTTAAAAATTAGTTACATGAAAATGGACCTTTTTCTCTTAAAATTGCTTAATGCATTTTAGCAAGTCACACTGAGATAGAATCTTAGTTATCCATCTTGATTCCTGTATCACTTGATCAAGTGACTCAATTTCTCTTTCCTTGGTTACTTATGTTGTATGTCTGCTTATATAAAATAGATATAAAAATTTAAAGATATAAGCATGGGATCTGGTTACTTGTAGAATTGGATAGATGACAGAAACAGATGACACATGATGTGTAGATGATAGATCAATAGATGATATGTAGATAATATATAGAATGTTGAAAGATGATAGATAGATGAAAAATAAATAGATAAATAAAAGATGATAGATAGATAGATAGGATAGATAGACAGAAGTAACAATTCGATAAGAGTATTTATCTAATATACTATTTATTATTTATACATAATTACATGTATGTATAATATAATTTGTACTTTCACTCTTTAGCAGCTCAGTTGATTCAGAAGATGGAATGGAAGACTCCGTCTAAAATAAATGATAATCCCTCATACAGAAATAGCCCTATAATTACTCAGAAAGGGAAATGTCCTGAAATGATATTCATAGGTTACTTTATTTTTATTTAGAAAAGGATGACCTATGGTCAGAGAGGTCAGGTCAGAGAATGAGTGCTTTTTCGGAGGTGAATCATCCCAGTGGACTGAGATACATTTTAAGGCAATACTATTAAAGAGATGACATTTGAATATGCAGAATATAAGGCAATTTTATGGTGTTTTCTTAAGAAAACACAAGTATTTGATAAAAGACCAGAAAGTAATCATAATTTTTACACACAATTGTACTGAGCACTTACTATACACAAGCAATCTGCTAATGAATGACCAAGTATGATAGAAGTTAATTCAAAGCACAGCCTAATATTGTTAGCAGACATGTAAACTGGTATGATGGCACACACCTCTAATCCCAGAAGCTGGAGGCAGAGCCAGGGGAATCTTTCTGAGTTCAAAACCAGCCTGAGCTACTCAGTGAGTGTCAGGCCAGGCAAGGAAACACAGCAGGACCTTGTTTCAAAAAATTAGTAATTCAAATTAATTTTTAAAATTTTATTAGTGATAAAATTGTATCATCCTATATAGAATTTTCATCTTCATGAGATCAAACCATGTATATTTCACTTTGTGGCATTTGCACAGAGTTAACCTATTTGTACACTAATACATAACTGAGGCTCAGGATTTTATTTAAGAAAAGTAAACATCTCCTTCTAAACACCCTATGAGCAGACTCTCAATTTAAAATCCCAGGGTTTATTTGGGAGGACAGTCATAGCAGTGGACAGGAGAAGCCACAACTGAATATGACATCATGTAAAATGAACAACAAAAGAAAAATATCTGGTTTCTAAAAAAGTTTAGCAAAAAAAATAAGAATATTTGTTGACTTGGATTGTATATACCTTGGGCATTCGTTTTATCAAGGTCAAATTATCTTTCTGGTTTCCCAAGGTTTAATTTACACAAAATCCCATTTCTCAGTCTGGTAAGATTGCTTAGGTAAATCAGTATCCACCAAGACCAAGACTTGAATTATATAGTAGAAGGAGCGAACAGTCTCCTGCATATTGTCTTCTGACCTCCATAATAGCAAAACAGCATGTACACACACACACACACACACACACATATACATATACACACACATACACATACACATATACAAACACATAAACACACACATACACACATACACACACATACACACACTTGTGCACATACATATGCATGCATTTGCACATGCACACACACACTAAATGTAATTTTAAAAATTTTAAGTCTTCCTCCATGAGGATCTCATGGCACTTTTTGTACTGAATTCTACAATGGTATTTGGTGGTACAGTGATACTATTCTATCCTTACCTGTCTGACTTCTGAGGAGAATATTTCCATTAAGTTGAAACACCATTATTCAACCTAGTCCAAAGCCTAGCATCTAACATGCTTAATAGTTACTGAAATTTATTTCCAGATAAAGAAAACTTTATATTGTATTTGTGTCTTCTACTATCATTGATTGTGTGGAAAATGGATGGTTGTTGAGTAAATACTTTCTAAACTAAATATAAACTTTTAGTTTGCCTAGCTATTTATGCTCCAGTTTTCTTCTTTCCTTTTATTTCATTTACTTTTTGTCTCTGTGGTGAAAGGCTCTGTCCTCACGATTGTTCCTACATATTTTATTCCACAAAGTTTGAAAGTTATAAAAGAAGAGTGTGAGGTTTGGAGACCGTCAGCAGTTCACAATGCATAGGGGTCAGTGACAATATTTTCATCCCTGTCAGGGAGGTATGAGAAATAAGCTCAAAGAACTTCAGAAAATATGCCTGGGACTTTTTTTAAACTCCCAGAGGGATACAGTCAAAGAAAAAAATTCAAAGTGTCAAGACAGGGTCAGGGGAAGTGGGCAAATCCCTGGAAGGTATCTTTATAATGAATAACTTAAAGCTTGCCTCAAGCCACAAAACAGCTGTGGATTTTCCATCATCCTTATGTATTTTGTTTAACTCATCTTTTAGAAAGATACTTATTCTCAGCCCATAAGCCACATCTGCATACAGTAATTTTCTTAATTGTCCCTAAATTTTGTGAGGCTGACCCCACTCCCTCGCTGCATGATAAAAGCCAGGGGGATAATGAGCTGTGACTAGATGGGACCAGAGTTATGCAAGCTTTCATTTCTCACACAGTCATTTTCGGTTTTGGGCTGACAGAATTGTTAACATTTTGAAATGTTAATGAAATCACCCCAAACATGACATTTTCAGCACAGGGTTTTAGAATAGGAAAATAATTTCTTGTGGCAGACTACACAGGCATAATTACAGGTGTAAGGGATTTAATTCTTCTCGGTTGCCCACAAGCCAGAGCAAATGTCCATCATGACTCAATGTAGACAAAAGCACTAGAGGACCAAGGTCATCGTGTTATCTTTAACCATGTGTTAGAGAGTTGTTTTACTAAATGTCAATTGTTTGGGGCAACGGTAGGAGGCACATTATTGTGACAGTACCTCCATGAATGCACACCAATGACCGTTTCTTGAATTAGGTGGAAGTAGACATAATGAACACTTGAGTTTGTTATGTTAGAGTTGACATAAAAGGAAATTATAAAATTCTGAGCTACATACTTTTTCCGTCTTGAGAAAGAGTCTTCCTCTGTAGTATTGTCTGTCTCGGAACTTCCAGTCTTCCGTTCTCATTTTACCATGTGCTGGGATGACAGGGTTGCACCTCTATGCCTAGAGGGATATGCACTTTTTTCAAATATACAAATAAAAAAAGAATTCATTAACATTTTCAGATATTTCATGGAATACTTTAACAAATAAATATAACTTTTCATATTTGGTATAATTGGAATTTCTTTGGACTGCCAACCAGCTACCAAATAAAGACTAGCTTGTCCTACTAGCTCTCTCAACTTAATTTACCCTGTTTCTATTCATTATACCTATTTCACCTTAGGGCTTCTTACCTCTTGTTCTACATGTCCTACTTCAGTTTGCTCCATGTCTGACTGGCTGGCCCCTGACATCTCCTTTTCTTTCTTTTTCAAGCCTAATGTCCTCTTCCTACTTACTCTCCATGCCTGGAAGTCCCACCTATACCACTGACTGTTCAGCTTTTTATTAGACCAGTCAGGTACCTTAGGCAGGCAAGGTGATGTCTCTGATGAAGTTGAAGAAAAAGTAGTTAATAGTATTCCTTGTTACCAAAATCAGAAAATAAACTTACATAAGAGATGTAAAGTTTATAAGTTTGAGAAACATAAAAGCTTAAATCGTTTATGTAAGATAGTGTTTTGAGGTCTAAAAAGGTAACTTTGGGCCGGGCGTTGGTGGCGCATGCCTTTAATCCCAGCACTCGGGAGGCAGAGGCAGGCGGATCTCTGTGAGTTCGAGGCCAGCCTGGTCTACAGAGTGAGTTCCAGGACAGTCTCCAAAGCCACAGAGAAACCCTGTCTCGAAAAAAAAACAGGTAATTTTGGGTTGGCAATACAAGTTATGATAGAAAGTAAACTAGGTACATGACTTTGAACTCACGGAGATAGGATACATAATGGAGTATTTTCTCTGAATTTGCCAAACACAAATGGACTGGATATTGTAAAAGTAATTCTTACTTGATAATTGTTCTTATAATATATAGTCTTACAATGTTAAAACTTAAACATTTATTTAGAAAAAAGGAGGAAATGTTGTGGAATATTTGTATAACTATGCAAAGATGTGCTGCATTTGTTTATGTTGCAGAATATTTTTTAACTATATAAAAATGTGTCTGGAGAGTCATCCAAGATTCCTCTATAACTTTGGGGCATACATCTTTGGCCTACAGGCCTAGAATATCTGACAGATTTCTGTGAAGCAAGAATTTTAAAGGACTATCCTACCTTGTCTTGACAAAGTTTGGCAGTGGCTTTCTTTTGTGTCCTGCTTGTCCAGTTACTACAGTTTACTGTCTGCAATCAAAGCAAGGGCAGTCTCT